ATCTCTGGTCTAATAAATGTCACACACTTTAAGTCCAGAGAAAATCCTTTTCGGAAACAAAGCGACAAGTGATTGAATGGAAATGTTTAATCAATTCTTTGGACCAAACGCTTCATTTCACAAAAGCTTTTCATTTTTTCAATTATCATATAATAAAAGAAAATATTTTAAGCTCTACTCAAAAGAAAATGAGTTGAAAGCAAATCAAATGCAAAATATTATGAAAATTCTTTAAACCATAAAAACTAAATTCTGATAAATAATAGTAAAGAGGAAATTGTTGAGAAATTACATCAAAAGCAGATCATCTGATGTCACATCACATCAATAATGCAAACCAATCACAACCTTTGGGCAAAAACTTATTAAATGATAAAAACAAGGATCACACAGCGATGCTATACGTTAACCACAATTCGGGAAGTGCTCAAAGAATAGATTAGAATAATTTATAGATTTACAGACGAGTCCATAAGATTAGCATTAGTTCCCACGAAGACCATAGACTTAGCATTGCTCATAGACTAACACTGTCCATAGATTTAGCATTACCTATGTTATCCCTATGCCGTAAACTTATCATTGTCCATAGACTTAGCATTGCCCATGTTATCCCTATGTCATAGACTTAGCACTGTCCATAGACTTAGCATTGCCCATGTTATTCCTATATCATAGACTTAGCATTGCCCATGTTATCCCTATGTCATAGACTTAGCACTGTCCATAGACTTAGCATTGCCCATGTTATTCCTATATCATAGACTTAGCATTACCCATGTTATTCCTATGTCATAGACTTAGCATTACCCATGTTATTCCTATGTCATAGACTTAGCACTGTCCATAGACTTAGCATTATCAACAGACTTATCATTGTCCATAGACTTAGCACTGTCCATAGACTTAGCATTGCCCATGTTATTCCTATGTCATAGACTTAGCATTACCAATAGACTTATCATTGTCCATAGACTTAGCACTGTCCATAGACTTAGCATTGCCCATGTTATCCCTATGCCATAGACTTCTATAAGCTGTTATCCAATAGAAACCCATGTTAAAGCATTCTCCCATAGACTTATCATTAGTCCCATAGGATTAACATCGAGAAAAACTACCCTTTCCCTTCATATTTCGCTTTCCCATAGGAAATTTTCTCCCATAGGATTAACATTACCCATAGGATAACATTAGCCCATGTTAAGTCTATGGAAAAAGCTCCATAGGATTAGCATTACCCATGTTAAGTCTATGTCATAGGATTAACATGCAATCC